ACGCGCGAGGGCGAGGCGATGCTGGGCCTGGTGCCCGAGACGGTGGCCCAGGTCTCGGAGCTCCTCGACGACGACGAACGCGCCATTGCCCACGAGGCCGGCGCGTTCCGCCGTGCCATTGAGGCGGCGCTGGGCGAGAGCCTGGATGCGTACCTGACCTAGCGCGCCCGACCCCTCTGCTTTGTTCGTTGAGAGCCGCTCCGTCGCGAGACCGCGGTGGGGGGCACCGTCGTCGTCGTCGTCGTCGTCGTCGTCGTTGATGGTCGTCCTCGTCGCTGGTCTGGCCTACTACTACTGCAGTGTATCGGTGCGGCTAGGTGCACAAATCTCATCCCATAACATCTTGCTTGTTGCTCAGTCCCTGTCTCTCTATGTTTCTCTTGGCTCGTCGTGCCCTTCGTTCGTTGCGTTCCGATATATGGCCGGGTGCATGCATGCAGAGCGATGCGATGCGGTGCGACGCGGTGCGATGCGGTGCGATCTGATCCGCCCAGTTGGACGTGCGTGCGTGCGTGCGTGCGTGCGTGCGTGCGTGCGTGCTGCTTGCAAGCAGGACTAGACAGAGGGCAGGCCAGGCCAGACAGAGAAGGCGCTGCGACGCCACCGAGACCAGACCAGACGCGACGGTGCAGCGCGGGCTGGCGTTGGGCCGCGTTCAACAAATGGACGCGGACGGGAGGCCGGGGTCGGGCGGGGTCAAGGGCACGCTTGGACCTCTTCCTCGCTCCTCTTCGCCTCTTTGCCTTGGCCCCACCGCCCCACCGCCACCGCCACCGCCGACGCCCTCACTCGGTCTTTCCCCTTTTTCGTTTCGCTCCCCCACCTTTTTCTCCTTGCCTCCATCTTCCATCTTCCCGTCCATCATCTTGCATTCACCGCGCATCGTATACGACCCACCACCTTTTGGGCATCGGGCGACGCCTCTACCCTGCCCTGCCCTGCTCTGGCCCTGCTCTGCCCCGCCCTGCCCTGCCCTGGCCCCGCTCTGCCCTGCTCGACTCTATCGGGACGAGCGCGTGTCGCCACCGTCGACTCTGTCCCGTCGTGACGTCGTTTGCACGGGAGTCTCTACCGTCGACGGGGATGATTGCTCTCCTCTCTTCTCCTCGCCTCGTTACCTTCATCGCCGCTGTACGTTCCTCTCGCATATAGCCACCATCCTGGCAACGCCATCTTGACTGAGACCAGCCACGTCGCGACGACGTATTGTCTCTCAAGTCATCCTCGCTCAAGAGGCCCGCCCCGCCCATCCTCCTCGCCACGCATCCGTGGCGCTCCCTCACATCGAGCCGACTCACCTGCCCAGACGACACACAATCACCACACGGGGACACCCATCGACGCCACTGCCATGCCCTACCGCGCGCCTGCCATGGACGACTACACGTCCACCTACTGGCTCTACAAGAAGGAGACGCGCGACTTTAGCACCTGGCTCGCCGAGACGGCACTCGCCCTCGGTTTCCCAGAGCATCGCTTCGCCTCGCGCTCCCACTGCGACAGCAACAGCCACCCGCGCCAGCACCAACGTCATCAGGCCGAGCGACAGCAGCGTGACAGGACGCGGCATGCCACCGCCAGCACTTCGACGGCAGGATCGTCGTCGTCCCAAGCATCCATGTGGCCCTCTTCCTCTTCCTTGCCTGTGACGGCGAGCCCTCACAAGCACAAGGCCAGCAGCGCCAACAACGACAGCAATCACGACGCCAACGGCGGCGGCGGCGGCGGCGGCGGCAACTGCTGCGGCACAGGCGCCCGCGACGAGGGCGGCTACATCCTCAAGATGCACCAGTTCACCGAGCTGGCACGCTTCATCGCGGCCCAGGGCCACCGCATCGCCGGCGAGTGGCTCCAGCTGCTCCGCCGCTGCATCCAGCGCCGCGTCGTCTGCCTCGACTTTTTCGCACAGCAGTCGGAACCCTCGCTCGTGGGCCACGCCTTCTTTGTCGACGTCCTCCTCCAGGTCGCCGACATCCTCGAGCCCTGCGTAGCCCACCACCAGCAGCAGCAGCACGAGCAGCAGTCGTCGTTCCAGGCCGAGTCACGGGCGTCGGCCAACCATCTCGACTCGGGAGCAAACACCCACGTCAGCGCCACCCCTCGCAGCAGCCCCGGCAAGACGCAGGGGAAGGACAGCAAGAAGACGCCAGCCAAGGGCAGCGGTACCAAGAAAAAGGTCTCGCTGACGCTCCGCGAAAAGGTCGGAGACAACCTCTTCGCGGGCCTCGACGTCGAGGAGGCGCCCGAGGCCGACCAGACCCCACCACCAACGCCGGATGCCGCGACCGCACCCGCACCGGCCCTGAAGCTGCTCGGCGCCCTCAAGTTCCGCCGCTTCGACATCGAGGACAGCTTCGAGGAGGCCTTTTGCGCGTGCTCGGCCTTTTTCGCCGATGTCCGCGAGGTGCGCCGCATCGTGCGCCAGCTCTGGTCCGACTACCGCTGCCACCAGGTCGACCTGGTCACGGCCTCGGTCGTCACCAACTCGGCCTTCCAGCTGCTCGAGGAGGCACACGAGGACCTGCTGTGGGACCACGCCCACTTTACCCTCAGCTCCGGCGGCTTCTTCTTCTCGCTCGTCGACCGCGTCTTTCAGATGCGCACCGGCGAGAAGCTGCTCGAGGACCGCAAGGTCACGCGCGTCGACACCGGCGACGGCCCGGCCAAAGGCGGCGGCAACGGCAAGGCCAACGCCAACGCCAAAGCGAAGGCTAAGGCCAAGTCCAAGGCCAAGGCCAAGGCGCAGGCCAAGGACAAGGGCAAGGCCGCGCGTCCGGACAAGAGCGAGGGCGGCAGCGACGGGCAGAAGCTGTGCCGCTTCGAGAGCGAGGCGTCTCGCCAGGCCATGGCGACGCTCGACGACCAGTTCATGCTCTCCTCGTTCGACCTGCTCCACTCGCTCTTCCTCACCTGGGACGCGCGCAGGGACACAAAAGGCCCGCTCGCCGCCTGGCGTGCTCTGCCACCCGAGCAGCAGCACCGGAAGCGGCAGGGACCGCCCTCGAACTCACCGGCGGCTGGCGAGGGCCAGGTCCAGGTCGAAGCGGCCCACCCGGACGACCTCCTCATCCAGGCCTTTGACGACTTTGCCATGCTCGACGAGATCAGCATCACGCTGTCCTCGGCGATGGACGATCGCTACGTCGGTGGCAACCGCCTCGATGCCCTCTACCGCGAGTTCAAGGACTGCATCGAGGACGGCGAGGCCTCGCTGCTGCTGCACGTCGAGATGCAGATCTACCTCGACGTCCAGGCTGCGCTGGGCGACCAGATCGGCCGCGGCCGGATCGAGTCCAAGCGCTACCTCCGGCGCATGTTGCGCAGCTTCGCAGAGGCTGGCAAGTTCGAGACGCTGCTCTCTGCAGAACCTTCGCTCCAGTACAAGCACGGCACCTATATCAGCTCGACCCGTTGGGAGATCGAGGACATTCTCGATGAGTTGCAGCGGCGCGAAGAACTGCTCCTGACTTCACGCTGGAAGACGGCGGCCGATGGCGACGGCGACAACGAGGATCGAGAAACTCACGGCAGCAGCAACGGCGTCAAGCCTATCGTCTTCGCCCCGAATCACCAGCGTATCAAGTGGGGCAGTCCACTGACGCCGACACGGCCGAGGCCGCCGAGCAGGTCGCTCCTCGAGCGCCACCCGACGTTTTACGGTCTGCAGGTATTTGACGCCCTGTGCGCCTACAACCACTTTGCGCTGCACGCCGCCAACACGTCGACGGCCATCCTCACGTGCGCGCACCTGTATGTGGCGTGCCGGCACCACTGCGCCGACATGGTCGATATTCCCGAAGGCATCATCCGGTGGCCAGACATGGACCTGCTCATCGAGCTGCAGGGCGCCGGGAAGCTGTTTGGCGGCAAGGTGCCCGCCACCCTGGCCGAGTCGTGCCGCGCCGCATGGCTGGTGTACGGCTACCCGGACGACATCCTGCACCCGCTGATGCAGGGCAGCCGGGTGCGGCGCACCGAAGCGCTCAAGAAGCTCAAGGGGCTGCACATCTACACGCGCACCGACCGCCTCTCGAACGACTCGACGGTGCTCGACGTGTTCACCGTCAACTCGGACCGGTGCTGCACGCGGAGCACCCTGTCGGGCAACCTCAGCCTCGGCACCAATCGGATCCAACGCATCCTGGACGAGGTGCGCGCGCACGAGCAGCGAGGCAGTCCCGGAAGCAGCGGCGGGCGTGCCTCCCTCGCTTCACCCGGACCTCCAAGCCTCGCCATCGGCAATGGCAATGGTAGCATGACCAAAGGCAGCGTCGGCAACGGCAGCGGCGGCAACGGCGTCGTCGTCGTCACCGCCAACGTCGGTGGCACCAAGGCGGCCCGCAAAAAGGCGACGAGAGCCTACTTCCAGCAGCACCGCGGCAAGACGGCCAAGGACCTCTCGATCGTCGGCGTGCTCAAGGTGCTCTCTGCCGGGCTGCGCCTGGGGATGCCCGTGCTACAGTTCGACTACCTCTCGCTGCTGACGCAGTGCTACGCCGTGCTGCGGCCCGTCCATGCGCTGTTCCAAAAGGACCCGTGCGTGGCGTCGCTGGGCGCCGAGCTGCCCAAGGGGTGCCGGCTGATGGACATGGCGTGCAACGTGCTCCAGACCAGCCTGGATCGCCGCCGCAACGTGGGCATCTTTCGCGGCCGGCGGGTCGGGCCGGATATCGAGGTGCTCAAGAGCAGCCTGGTGATTGAGCTCGAAAAGACGATGCGCGCCGCCCTGGCCGAGGCGGGCGACCGCAGCCGCGAGTGTCGACGCCTGAGAGTGTCCTGGATCAGCGAGGGCGATGACGAGAGGGAGGGCGAGGTTGAGGGCATCGACGACAAGACGACCGCGAGTGCCAGAAGCGGTGGCCAAGGAGGCGGCGCCAAGCCCTCTGCCGCCGCCGCTGGACCCCGGGCTGCGGTGCTGACCGACGACGATGCGGCATTTGATTCCTGGCTCGGCCTCCGCTACGGCGTCTGGAGCGTCACGAGCAAGAGCAAGGCAGGCTGATGCGAGGTTCATCAGCACCCGAACGTCCTCGAGCGGTTCCCACCTTCTAGCGTACTCAGGCTCTATCGCCAAGCGTCGATCTCATCCCCACCAGACGGTACTTTTCCGGCCGTCGTCCTCAGTCCGTCCCTCTGCGTGTACGATAGCGCGACGTTCTGCCGCTCTGCATGTACTCGCATCCGTTTCTGGCAGCACGATGGCTCCTGGCGCCTTTCAATGCGGCTGCTGCTCGATCAGAGCTGGTACGCTGCCTGCCTGCCTCTGTCTGCCTCGTCCTGTGCCGCGCCGCCCGGCCGTGCGGGTGTCTGCTCAAATGAGCCGTGCTGGAGAGAGCCGCGAAGGAGAGCAGCACCAGATGACGGCTGGAGAGAGGCCTGCGCCTTCTGGTCCGCCCGCCTGCTCGAGTCGCCTTGGACGCCTGCCTGCCCCCCGTCCCCACCGCGCGCGCGCATTTGCTGAGAAAAACCCCGTCGCGTCCAGGCAGAGCGAGCGGGCTGGCCCTTTCTTCCTTCCGTCCATCACCACCGCCGCCACCACCACAGCGGGCCCTTGAACCCTTCACCTCCTCTCTCCTTCCACAATACTCGCTACAGTACCACAACTCTTCCTTGACGACACTCGCTCTGCTCGACCTGCTCCCGCTTACCGTCTGCCCTGATCCCCAACCCTGCCATCCGCTTGCTCGATCGCCTGCGACGCCCCGTTGCATCCACCTCATTGTGCCGCGTGCCCCTCACACGGGCGCCCTGCTTCGCCACCATGGACGGCTACGTGTCCAACTACTGGCTCTACAAGCGCGACACGGACCGCTGCGCCAGCTGGCTCGCCACGACGGCGCTCTCGCTCGGCTTCCCGCGCAAGCGTTTCCTGGCGGCCAAAGCGGACCTGCGCAAGAACCTGGGCAGCAGGGGCACCGGCTCTGACCGATGCACAAAGGCCGGCGGCGGCGGCGGAGCCACGCCGAACCCGCCAGCCCAGCAGTACCGGTACATTCTCAAGACGTGCCAGCTTGTCGAGCTCGCCCAGTTCATCGCCGACAAGGGCCACGCCGTCCCCGTCGACAAGCTCGCGCTCGTCCGTCGCTGCCTCTCGCGCAGGCTCGCCTGCCTCAAGTTCTACGAGGGCCGCAGCCCGATCTGCACCAAGCACAGCCACTTTGTCAACGTCCTCGCCGAGGTCATCAGGATCCTGCAGCCGTTCGAGCAGTCCAAGTCCGGCGGCGGCAGCGGCGGTGACGGATGCGTTGAGGCCGTGCAGCAGTCGCAGCCCGACGTGGAAAAAGAGGTCCGCGCCAAGAAGCGTGGCAAGAGGGGAAAGGCCAGGGCCAAGGCGTCGAGCGCGGCCGAAGCGGCCGAAACCAGCGTCGACGTCACCATCGACGATCTCGTCAGTCAGCTTCACCTCTGCGCGATCGATGCAGAAGGCGGCGGTGACGACAAATACGAGGCCGAGACCGAGGAGCCGCTCCACTTCCGAGTCGAGTCCGACGTCAACGAGGCCCTCGTGGCCTTTATGGCCTTCTACGCCGACCTGCGCGATGTCCGACGCTACCTCGAGCACCTCTGGAACGACTTTCGCCACCACAGGGCGGACCTCGTCACCGCATCGCTGACGACCAATGCCGCCTTTGAGCTCGTCGAGAGGGTGCACCAAGACGTCGTCGAGCGCTACAGCTCGCTCTTCTCTGGTCCCAAGGACCTCATCGAGACTCTAGCAGAATATGCCGTGAAGCTGCGCACCGGAAACTGGCAAGGAAGGCGCGACGACGCCGCCGCCTGCTGCGATCCAAGCGGCGGCACGGGCAACAGCGGCAGCAGCGGCAGCAGCAGCGTCGACGCGGAAGAGGCCGTCAAGGAGGCCTGGTCATTCGTCGCAGAGCACCTCTGCCTCCTCCCCTTCAGCCTTGCCAGCGACTGGCAGGAGACGCGAGCGGACTCGACAAGCCTGCCGTCCCTCTTCCTGCTGTTCGACGACGGGGCCCCTGGACGAGACGTGGCTGCGCTCAGCAGCGAGGAGCGCCGCCAGCTGGCCGTCGAACTGGTCTGGACGACGCTCGCAGACTTTGCCACGTTTGACTCTAGGGTCGTGAGGGGCACCAAGCTCGCCGACGGCGAGGGCCGCATCCCCGACTTCAGCACCAACAGCGCCGACGCCTTTACGAGAGACGTCTGCCGCTTCATCCGCAGCGGCAGAGACCCCTCGCTGCTCCTTGCCTTTGAGCTGCAGGTTTACGTCGATATCAACTGCATCCTCCAGTACGACAACCGCCGCGGCAGGGTCGAGGCCCGTTTCCACCTGCGTCAGGCGAGGCGCAGCCTCGAAGAGGCGGTCGCCAACGAGTGCAAGCCCAACCTCTGCGAGCACCATCGCCGCGAGCTCTCGGCGTCGATCCGAAGCGTCCGAAACTACCTCCACGAGCTACAGCTGCGCAACATCCACGCGCCCCAGGCCGCCTTTGCCGACGAGGAGGCGTGGTCGCCGGCCATCAGGATCCCGCTGCTCGACCGTCACCCGACTTTCTGCGGCCTTCAGGCCTACCGCGGTCTGAAGGTCCTCCGCGAGACTGGAGCCAACGAGTCCAAGTGCAGCGATTTGGCCCTCGCCGGAATCCACCTCTACAACGTGTGCAGGGGGGCCCTGGCCTGTGACGGTCCTGCGGCCGACGCCCTCAGCTGGCCGGATGCTGAGCTGGTCGTCGAGCTCCACGGCGTCGAGAGGCTCTTTGACAGCAGCCGCCCGCCCACCACCCTCGAGGAGGCTCGCCGATCCGCCCTCAAGGCCTGCGGCTACCCGAAACAGCTCATCGACAGCGTCGTGGACGGCAGCAGCACCGGGGATCCCTTGCCGCCGGCATCGGACAAGAGGTCGAGCTCCGAAGACGAGAGCGGCGATCGGTTCGCATTCGACTCGGCCTTCTTTTCCGCCTTTGACGACACGCCGTGCCCCTGCCCCCGGCACAAGACGGCCTGGCTGCAGTTCGACCTCGACGAAGGCAAGTTGCAGAGGCTGCTTGCCGAGGCAGAGGCGAGGCAGCTGCCGGCGGCTCAGGAGGGCAGCCACGCCGGCGACGGAGGCGTCGACATCGGCGGAGACGGTGCTGCTGCCGAAGCCGAGCGGACCGAGACGCCGATGCACCGCGAGGGCAGCAAGACGAAGCGCGCCCCTTGGATCGCCGAGCTGCTGGCGATCCTGGCCGAAGGTCTCGGCGCAGACATGCCGCAGCTGTGCTTTGACTACGTTGCGTTCAACACGCGCTGCTCGCAGGTGTTTGAGGCGCTCTACGCGACGCTGGCAGACGAGCGCGAGTCGCTCGGCGCCTCTGAGCCGTTCCCGCACAGCTGCAAGCCGCTCCAGGTGGTGTGCGAGATGATGTCGTCGATGCTGTGGTGCCGCTTCGTGGCGCAGAGCGAGCAGCCGGGCATCTTCGTCCTGCACATTGTCGAAAAGCAGCACGAGTTGCTGGCCCGCGTCGCCCGCGTGATGCGCGCCAAGCTGGCCGACGTCGGCGCCGACGCTGGATGCCGCCAGCTGCATGCCCTGCAGCTCTCCCACGTCGCGGGCTGGGACGGCGGCTCTGCTGCCTCGAGCTCCGAAACGGCGACCGGAAGTGGCGAAGGCGGTGACAGCAGCAGCAGCAGCAACAGCAACGGCAACAGCCGCTAGCGAGGCACATACGGGCGGGCGAGCGGGTGCTCACGGTCGCCACGGAACGACGCTATCCGAAATCGGGCCCGGCCCCTCGACGCCTTCCTCTTGAAGCTTCTTCCTGCCGACCAATCCATCGCTCTCTCGACGCTCTCGGCCTTCCATCCCGACGGTCGCGCTGCCCACGCACCCACCCTCGCCTCCTCTGCCTCCGTAGCTTTGTTTTCCCAGTCGCTCGCTGGCCCAACCGCCCGCTTAGCCTTGAGCGACCTTTTTTGATGCACAATCAATCGTGAATGCTGCGTTCGCTTCGTCGCGCCGGACTGGAGGTGCCTCGCGGGTCGAGGAGATGCGGGCACGGTGAAGACCTAAGCTGGCCGGCTGGTTGCGTTTGATGCCGCTTCCGCGGGAGAAGGAGCGGCTTGGTGATCCCCCCTTGGGCCGGCTGGTTATTCACTTTGAGGGTGGGGCGGAGTCACCAGCTCTCTCGACCACCTCGTCCCTGGCTGCGTGGGTGGGTCGAGCGGTCGGGTGGGACGGAGACGGCTGGATCCCTTGCCATCGTCGCTTCTGTCCCGCTCCAAGGTGAGAGGCCTAGGGTAGGGTAGGGTACCGCATTGGGCACCCGTTTCCATCCAACCCTTCGCAAGTCAAACCCCGCTAACTGAGCGGACCGGACCGGATTGGAAGATGCTGGCCGCGCTGGATCGATGCGTGATTACGCCCCGAATCCTGCGCCACACCCGCGTCCGCATCGTCGGCCTTGTGGCGCGGGCGGTCGGGCTGGCTCGCCTGCGCCTGCGCCTGTGGATCGGTTTGGGGGCGTCGCGTCCTTGGAGTTGGCTGAGGTGGTCTCCTTAACCACCATCATCATAACTACCACCACCATCATAACCACCACCACCATCCGCTCATTCTTCGTCTACCGTCTCCTGTCTTCTCGTCCGTCATCGCTTTCAACCCTCCTTCTTCGCCCTCCATCTGCTATTCCTCTGCCGTCATCCCGTCGCTCTTCGTCCATCACCCCCTCCCCCCTCTTCGCACGTCGTCAATCTCCTTCTGGCTTCAGGGCTGCCCTCTGTCCACGGGTAAGCACAGCAGAGTCGCCGGCTTCGAGCGGCATTCCCCCCTATCCCCGAGTCGTCTGCTCCTTCGTCGTACCGATCTCATGCTTTCCTCTGCTCTTCTTCCGCTGAACCTTGCACCGCCCTGTTCCTTAACCTCCGGCCCGTTAGTCTCTTGCCGCCTCACACTTCCCTCTCCACCTCGCCGACCGCCATGCACGGGTACATCTCGACCTACTGGCTGTACAAGCGCGACACAGACCGCTGTGCGAGCTGGCTCGCCACCACGGCACTCTCGCTCGGCTTCCCGCGCAAACGCTTCGCAGCAGCCAAAGACGACCTCCGCAAGAACATGCATATGGCCCACCCCACCGCTGGCGGCGGGTGCTCCAGGACGACGACGGCCACAGGCCAGCAGTACCGGTACATCCTTCGCATCCCGCAGTTTGTCGAGCTCGCCCAGTTCATCGCCAACAAAAGCCACTCGGTCCCCCAGAACAAGCTGGCCCTCGTCCGTCGCTGCATCTCTCGCCGTCTCGCTTGCCTCAAATTCTTTGAGAAGCACGGCCAGCTCGCGGTCGATAACCACGTCTACTTTGTCGAGGTCCTTATCGAGGTCGTCAAGATCCTCGAGCCTTGCGCTGCCCAGCAGCAGCAGCAGCAGCAGCAGCAGCAGCAGCAGCAGCAGTCGAGCGACATCTGCGGCGACGACGGCGTCTCGGTTCAGCATCACGCCTGGAAGAAGACCAAGTCCAAGAGGCGCGGAAAAAAGGGAGGCAAGGGCAAGAAGGCAGCGCACGGCGGACATCGTTCAGCAGCCGCTTTCAGCACCGGCACCACGACCGAGAACCCCTTCGGCCATCTCGAGCTTTTCATCATCGACGACGACGAGGATGACGCCGACGATACTGCCTCGAATGACGAGGACCTGCATTACCAAGTCGAGGACAGCATCGACGAGGCGCTGTGTGCCTTCATGGCGCTCTACACCGACCTCAACGAGATCCGCGGTTTCCTCGAGAGCCTCTGGACCGACTGCCGCCAGCGCAAGACGGACCTCGTGACGGCCTCGCTCACCACCAACACGGCCTTCCAGCTCGTGGAAAAGGCGCACGCCGACATCATGTCGCGCTACAGCTCGCTCTTCGACGCCCCCGAGGACGTCCTGTTCCCGCTCGTCGACTACGCTTTCCAGCTGAGAACGGGCAAGCACCTCTTCAGCAGCACGGACAGCAAGGCGAATAGGCGCCTCGACGGTCCGCCTGTCGCCGACGACAGCGTTTGGGGGGACGCCGAGTGGCAGGCCCACGACTTTGTCCACGATCACTTCTTCGTAGAGCCCTTCCTGGCGCTCAGCAACTGCCTCAAGCGCTACCGAGTCGATGGAAGCATGCCCAACAAAGTCTCTGGCGAGATCCGACCGCTGCTCAGCAGTCCCGTGTATGCCACGCTCCGACACAGGGAACGCACGCGTCTCGACTGGTTCCTGACCATCGACGCCTTCATCAACCTTCGAGCCTTTGACTTTGGCGCATGGAAGGTTGCTGACGGTCCCAAGAGGTCAATGGACATCAGTGCCAACAGTCCCGACGCCCTCACTCGCGAAATGAGCCGCTGCCTGCGCGGCAACGTCGGACCGACGATCCTCCTCGCCTTCCAGATGCGGGTCTACATCGACATCAACCGCGTTCTCCAGCTGGACAACCATCGAGGCCGACTGGAAGCGCAAGCCCACATGGTGCGCATCAAGCAGCACCTCGACGAGGCGGCCAGCAACGACCGACAGCCCAACCTCTGTTCCGGCCACAAGGACGACCCCAGGGAGACGTTCAACAACGTCCGCTACCTCCTCGAGGAGCTCCAGTGCCGCGCTCTGGGCGTCGCTACAGAGGATCGTGGCCGTGAGGAGACCTGGGTCCCCGAGGCCGAGATCCCCTCGCTCGGCTACCACCCGGCCCTGTGTTGCCTGCAGACCTTCCGTGCGCTGTTCCTTCACCGCAATGCCGGTGGTGACGCGGCTAGCTGCGGCGGGCTCGTCCTCGCTGGCCTGCACCTCTACAACGCCTGCAACATCTTGCTCGGCAAAGAGCCGACCGAGGATGCGCTCGTCTGGCCCGACATTGACCTCGTTCTCGAGCTGCATGGGCCCGAGAAGCTGTTCAGCAGCGACGTTCCGACCGGCCTGACGGAAGCGTGCAAGGCCGCAATGGGGACCTACGGCTACCTCGAGCAGACGGTGCTCGACGTCCTGCACGGCGGCCCCCTTCGACTGGAGCGCGCTCACAAGATGGCTGGAAAGCATGACACCGTCCCGCGACTTGATCGGCTGTCGAACGACTCGGCCTTCCTTTCCATCTTCACCGACATGACCTGCACCTGCGCGAACCACAGGATAGCGCTCCTGCAGGCCAAGATCAACGAGGGATCGGTTCAGGGCCTGCTCGCAGACCTCAATGCCAAGCAGATGCGCCAGGCACGCAAGGACGCTGCCGCCGGCAAGCCGACCTCGAAAGCGCACGCGGGGCGCGGGTCCAGGTCGAGACGGGCTCTGTCGTTGGTCGAGCTCCTCTCGGTCCTCGCTTCGGGGTTGTCGGCGGACGCGCAAGACTTGTGCTTCGACTACATGGCCCTGCACACGCGCTGCACCCGCATCTTCGAGGCGGTCTACAAGGCGCTCGAAGAAGGTCGGGCCGTCCTCGGCGGCGACGACGACTTTCCAAAGGCATGGCGCCCGATGCAGGCCGTGATCAAGACGCTGGTCGACATCCACTTCTGGCAGGACGTGGGCCGAAGGTTTCCCGGTCGACACTTTCCGCGGATCGACGCCCAGCGGGCGCTCCTCCTCCGCGTCGCCGGGACCATGCGCGACGCGCTCGACGAGGTCGGGGCCGACGTCGAGTGCCAAAGGCTAAAGGCCATGTTGCCGCCGCACGCCGTCGATGGTTCAGCGACGCGTTTGGCCGCGAACGGCCCCGCCTTGGCCTCGGGTGACGACGAGATGATCGCAGAGAGCCGCACCGCCGAGTCGGACGATCTCGGCCCTGATCGCTGACCACCCTCGATGCTCCTCTGGCTTCGTTGCATAGCCGCCTCCCTTGTTCTTGCTCTGGTCGAGCTGTGCCCCTCCCTCTTTGTCGTTGCTCGCGAGCAAATGGGCAGCGGAAGGCGTACGCGCCGGCATGGCTGTCGCGAGGGGGTAGATGGCGACGTCAATCGAGGCCGAGAGCGGGCACGGGCGACGGTTTGGCCTCTTCCTCGGTGCAGCAAGGGCTCGGCTCGTCTTGCCCTGCCCTCTTTGGCAGCACAATGCAGCAGGTTCGCTCCACAGCCTGGTGGCCTTGCCCTTGCTTGCTACCTTTGCTGCAGATGTTTTGAATGAAGTTCTGTCAAAGCCCACCCGAGGAAGCTGTAGCGAAAGGCTGATGTAATTGATGCTACATGATGGACCATGCTAGAGCAACATGGGGTCAAGGAAGGGTGAGCTCTGCCTTGTTTATGAGGTCCAGCCAGCCCTGTCGCACCCAAAGGTCCAGTTGAATTGAATTGCATGTGTGAACTGCGTGATGCAAGAAGAGCGAGCAGGGTGGGTTGAGTGGGGAGCGCCGGCCGCAAGACCAAGCCCCGAGGACAAAGGGAGAAGGCCGTGGTGGAGAGCAGCGAGCGAGAGGTTCAGCTTGCCACCTCCTCGAGGGAGACTGGCCGTCGCAGCGGTCCGTGTGTGTGTGTTCAGCGGCCTTGTTTTCTCCTCAGACGACCAGGCACGTTCTCGATTTCGACACTTCAGACAACCATCCAGTTCGACACCGCGACGACGAGGCCCTGCAACAAATGCAATCACAGGCCAAGCTCGAAATGAGCCGCCGACTCGGTGGGGCTGCCCCAGCCCACCTTGGACGCCACTCGCTGCTCTTCGCCCACGACCATCGCCCTGCCCCTACGACACCGACACCACCGCCGCCGCCGAACCCAAGCCACCCCAAGAAGCCTCCATTTTCCCGCTGCCCACCGACGCCCAGCCATGATCAGGTACGAGCCAGCAGCCTCGAGCGTGTCGGGCTCAGGTCGTCTCGTGCTAAATACGGCCTCCCCTCACTCGACGGCCAGCCTCCTCCTTGGGTTGCCCCTTCGCCTTCCATCCAGGGACACGTCGAGGGCGAGCAGCGGCCCGCCTCATCGCACGCACACGCCTTTGCGGCATACACTGGACGCCTACCTCATAGCCGCGCTCACCGACCTCGGCCGCAAGGTAGCCTGGGACGTTGCCAAGCCACCCTGTCGACTTGCCCAGCTGCCAGTCCGAGTCGTCCACGGCACACTCGAGGCGATCTGGACTGTCAAGGGCCGCCTCACGCATCCATCTGCTCACCGTCGAGTGACTCGCCACATTTCGCGGCGTGACCGTAAGCTTGTCGCCGCCCTTCGACGTCGAGTACGAGTAAGGATCGGTGCGGCGCCTTCTCGTCGAGCTCGCTGACAGACAGCAACCTCGACTGCGTGGCATCCGCCGTGGGCAAGCCTTTCTCGGCTCGGCAGCACCTTACATTGCCAGGAGGACGTCGCCGCGAGGGATCGCATCCGCCTCTTTTCTCAGAGCGCCACACATCGACAGCTTCCGCTCGACGTCGCCAAACTCAGGCGGACAGGCAGCAGGCCAAGGCGATGCCGACAGCATCCGTTTTGATCTAGCTTGGCGGCGCCAGCGGTGCTCTCCGCTCCCTCCTGCCTCTCGACCCGTCCGCCTCTGCCGCTCCACGGTCGCCGCGCCGTCGTAGAAGGCCGCTCGACGCGAGGGCCTAGCGACCCGCTCGGCCAGCCTCCGCCCCGCGCCTGCGCATGCCTGCGCGGCGCATCCATCCGCCTCCGTCCTCGACTCCCTTCCCCCATCCTTGCCGCCATCCCATCCCGCCTTTGCGCGAGCGGAGCGCGGCCCTCCAGCTTCTGGTCACCGTTCCCTGGGCTCCGCTTGAGGTACTTCATCTGCCGTCCTCCCCTTATAAGAGCCGCCTGTGACCTGCATTGACACGTCGTCCTCTTCTCTCCCTCCCACCTTCGCACATCTCACCAGCCTGTCGGCTCCGCCTCAGTACGACTAGCGACCTCCTCATCCTCACCCTCACTCGCTCTCTTCGCCACTTTCTAGGCCAGCTAGACTCGTCACCGACCATCTTGACCTCGATCCACCCTTGCCAACGCTGGCCTGGCCTGATCGCCTCCAGCGTCCTCCTGATTCCTCCCCTCGACCTCACCGCGTCCCATCACCAAATACACACGCATCTTCATCCGGCACCGAGATGGACGGCTACGTCTCCGCCTACTGGCTCTACAAGCGCGACACGGATCGCTGCGCCAGCTGGCTGGCCACCACGGCGCTCTCGCTCGGCTTCCCGCGCAAGCGCTTCACCGCGGCCGAGGTCGACCCGCGCAAGAAGGTGTCGACGTTCACCGTCAGCTCCGGCTGCAGCCACGGCGGCCCGACAGACGCCATGCCGCAGTACCGCTACGTCCTCAGGATCCCGCAGTTCATCGAGCTCGCCCGCTACATCGCCGACAAGCGCCATGCGGTGCCGCCCGCCAAGCTGCGCCTCATCCGACGCTGCATCTCGCGCCGCATTGCCTACCTCAAGGCGTTCGAGGACCAGGGCCAGCTCTGCGACAAGCACGTCTACTTCGTCGAGGTGCTTGCCGAGGTCTTCCAGATCCTGCAGCCCTGCGAGGAAACGGACAAGGACGAAGGCGGCAACGGCGACAACGAGGAGCATCCGCAACAGGCGGCAGGATGGAAGAAGATCCGAGCCAAGAGGGGCGCCAAGAAGCGCGGCAGAAGCCAGCATAGGGCCAAGGCGTACAGCGAGCCTCGCACGGACAGCAGCGGCGATGACGCCTCGTCCGGCCACCTCTTTGGCCGACTGCACCTCTTCGCAGAGAGCGACGGGGAGCGCGGCAGCAGCGAAGACGAAGATACCGACAGCGACGCCGGAGAGACGCTCCTGTACCGCATCGAGGACAATGTTGACGAGGCGTTGTGCGCCTTCATGGCCTTCTACACCGACCTCAACGACGTCCGCGCCTTTCTACGCCAGCTGTGGAGCGACTACCGCCAGCGCAAGATGGACCTCGTCACCGCCTCGCTGACGACCAACACGGCGTTTCAGCTGGTGGCCAAGGCGCACAACGACATCGTCGAGCGCTACCGAGACCTCTTCGCTGATCCGAGCGCCATCCTCGAGGCCCTGTTCGACTACGCGCTGGACCTGCCCGCCGGAAAGGACCTGGACGACGGCGGCGAGGAGCTCGACGACGGCAACAGCACAGGATGCCGCGTAAAGGCTCATGAAGATGCCCGCACGACGGTCGAGGAACACTTCTTCCTGCTGCCGTTCCGCGTTCTGAGCGACTGGCGGGCGGACAGGCTAGACGATGACGACTGTCACGAGCCCTCTCTGGAAGGCCTGTTCGACGCCGAAGCGCCTGGATTCGATGTGGCCCTGCTCTCGCACGCGCAGCGACGGCGACTGGATCAAGACCTCCTTTACGCCGCTCTGAACGACTTTGCCACCTTTGACGACGCGACTGTCCGAGCCGGGGATCTCGATGCGCTGCAGTTGCTCGAAGCCAACGACGAGATCCCTGACGATCTGAAGCGCTCGTTGAAGCAGCACCTGCAGCAGACCAAGGACCGCATACGCAGAGTTCTCGGTCCGTCCAAGGCCCTCGACGCCAGCGGCAACAGCCCCGACGCCCTGACGCGCGAGATGAGCCACTTTCTGCGTTCGACGGACGGGCCATCGCTCCTCTTGGCCTTCGAGATGCAGGTCTACCTCGACATCAACCACGTTCTGCAGCACGACAACCGCCGCGGACGCGTCGAGGCCTTTACGTGCCTGCACCATCTCGAACTGACGCTCAACGAGGCCCTGCGGAACAAGTGCGAGCCCAACCGGTGCAAAGTCCACCACGAGGACCAGGAGCTGGCGATCATTTTGATCCGTGAGCTGGTGCAAGAGCTGCTCAAGCGCTGCCACCACGCCTGCACGGACCGATCGTGCTGCCACGCGGATTATCTCTGCTCTCCGGCTACGAGGCAACCTTTCCTCGACCGCCATCCGATCTTCTGCGGCCTGCAGACGTTCAGGGGGCTCCTCAAGCTGCGCGAAACGGGCGCGGAAGTCGCTCGATGCAGTGGCTTGGCGCTGGCCGCCCTCCATCTCTTCACGGCCTGCAAGGGCTACCTGACAGCTGGGCAGTCCCCCCTCGACGGCTTTGCATGGCCGGACATGGAGCAGATCGTCCGGCTGCGCGGGCCGGAGCAGCTCTTCGGGGGCAGCAGCCCGCCGACGTGCCTCTCCGAATCGACCAGGGCCGCCTTGCGCACGTATGGATATCCGCCGCATCTGGTCCAGCGCCTCTTGGACAGCAGCACGGCGCGTCTATTGCGGTCGGCAAGGATGGGCAGGAGGGCAGAGGTCGAGCCGCAGCTGAACCGCTTCGCCAATGATGCGACCTTTGTGTCCATCTTCGAGGGCATCTCTTGCACCTGCCGCGACCATCGCACGGCGGTGCTCCAGGCCGACATCAACAACGGGACGGTGCAGAAGCTCCTCGCGAGCTCGAAGGCCAAGCAGCTGCGCGTGACGCAGAGGGCCACAGTCGCCCAAAGCGCCCACAGCCGACCGGCGAAGCTGCCCACCCAGCACAGAGGAAGGTCGAAGTCGAAACGCAGCCTCGCGATTGTGGAACTGCTCGACATCCTCGCCGAGGGCCTTTGCTCCGACATGCCAGGACTCTGCTTCGACCACATCGGACTCAACACGCGCTGTTCGCGCGTCTTCGAGGCCGTCTATGCCGCGCTGCAAAAGGAGAGCAAGGTGCTGATGCGGGAGCCGGCTTTCCCGCACTGCTTCTCACCCATGAAGGCCGTCGTCGAGACGCTGATCACGCTCGACTGGTGGAACGGCCGGTACCGCGAGATGCCCGACGTCTTTCAGTCCCTCGTCGACGAGCAGCGTGAGGCCATGGAACGCGTGGCTGCCGTCATGCGCGCTGCCGCGGTCGAGGTCGGGATCGACATTTCGTGCTTAGGGCTCTGGGCCACTCTGACGTGCCTTGGCTATCCAATGGGGTCCAAGGTCGAAGAAGGTCCCAGCACCGCGCGCGATGAGCGCCAAGACGGCCGAGAGACCGGCCAGAACGACCGCGGTCCCGAGCGCTGAACAGAGAGCCTCGCTTTCGTTCGAGAGGCGCTCACTGCAAGCGCCGACAGCACGCGAGGATGCGGTATCTTTCTGCCCCTCGCGATCCAGTTCCGTCCGATCTTTCAAGATCCCGAACGGCCCTTACCCATGGCACGTCTTGCTCGCCCGCCCTCGCCATCCATCGCGCCAGAAGCGAGAAGCGAGTTGATCACATCGCCATCCAACCCGCTAGACTGGCGGCTCTCAGACTTGTGCCTCGACGATCCCCGTAGAACCAGATCGACCCGCCGAATGTCCACGGCCACCTCGCCTTGGCATGTCCCGACGCCATTTGCTCTACTCGGCCTCCCAGCGCGTTCTACCTCTCTCTCCTTCTCGCGCGGTCTTGGTCTCATTGACACCCTGCTCCCTCCGCTTCGTAGACTGCCCGCGCAAATGAGAAGCTCGACTCTCGACGATGGATGTTGCGCCGTCAGCGGAGCCCAGAGTTGAGCGCGGCA